CTTTCAGTTTGATTGCAAGAAATGTTTTATTAAAGCTAAGATGCCATGTAAAATAAAGGCGAAATAAAATGAAAGCTGATTTTTGTTAAATGAGAGTTCTTTGTAAATCTGACAGGAGCAAAAGTTGCACTTTGTTATGTATTTCTTCTACTGTCTAAAATACAATAATTTGCATGTAACTATTGTTTTCTGTATTTGATGGTGTCCTCTTAAAATATTAAGCCACATTTTACGCAGTTACTCTTAGAGTAGCCATTTTACAAAATACTGTTTGTTTTTCTGTTAGTAATTTCTGGGATGGTTACTTTTCACTTTCACATGAGTAAAAATACGTTGACGTTTTACTCATTCCTGAGTACATTTTGAGAACTCTCTGATCAAATCAATGCAATTGCATGCAAACTGCCGGCCAGTCAAACAATACAAAAAAACATAAACAAATGGAGCTACAACTCAAACATACCCAAACAAACAAAAGATTCAGTTGACCCTAATATATTGAATGAGCACAAAATTTCCTTCTTTTCCTGTTGTATCGTCACAGTTTCTGATCCTTGTTAGTTACTGGTCCAGATTTTTAACTCTATTCCAATTTTAGCTGTTGTTATTCTCTTCCACAAAGTTTGCTTTATTTCTTGGGTCTTAAAACAGTATATTATCGGGTTGACTGCAGCAGGGACTAGACTGTACAGCAGGATTAATAAAATGCGAACATCTACACTGAAAGAAAATCCAACTGTGTTAGCTATATAAACAAAGCACCTAGGGAGATAGAAAAGACATGTTATGAATATTTGTGGAGAACAAGTTGCCAGAATTCTGCTGCGTCCTGCAGAATTAGACATTTTTAAAATGACTATAACAACACAAACATAAGAAATCAGGATAAATACAAGAGGCACCAAGAGACAAAACATAGCGATAAAAAGGGCAACAATCTGTGCAATCTTTCGATCATCTCCACATGCCTGATTTGTCACTGAGATGTGATCACAGTAACACTGGGTAATAATATTTGACCGACAATAAGATAAACTGAGGGCTTGGAATATTACAATGAGCATCAAAATCAGAGGTAGAAACCAAGCAGATCCACAGAGAGTAAATATAATATTGTTTGTGATTAGGACAGGGTATCGCAGTGGAACACAAATTGCTACAAATCTATCAAGAGCCATTACCAGTAACAAAAATGACATCACTGAACCTAAATAGTGAACAAAGAACATTTGTGTGAAACACTCATAAAAGGAAATGATGCTGTTTCCGAACCAATATTTTGATATGATCTTTGGGAGTGTGGCACTCCCAAATGATAAATCAGTCAGTGCAAGGTGACAAAAGACCAAGTACGTAGGTTTTTGAAGAGATTTTTCATAGGTGACAACACCAAGATGAAAATATTTCCTACCAAAATAGCTAGATAGACTAGAAAAAGTACAGCTGATGCAGGGCCATAGTACGATGGTGAGAGTCCAGGAAACCCAAGGATGAAAAAGTTGTGTATCCTTGTGATGTTTGTGCTGAGCACCATTATCTCAAGTTCCTGCAAAGAAGTGTTAGAAATGTATTCATTTTTAATTGTATTTAGATATCACCACAACATTAGTAAAGATATAATTAATCTTTATAATCATGCCTTTTTTGCCGCTAAACCGTTGAGGTAGTTTTTTAAATAGTAAGAAAGGGAAAGGTAATTTTTCTTGTATAGCACATTTTTAACAACAAGGCAATACAAAGTCCTTTACAGGAGTTAAAAAAAATACAAACAAAATAACAAACCAGAGGAAAGAGTGAAAGAAGAAAAATAATCTAATGTTGATCTAGTATGTAAAGTAGGTGCTCCTGTTCAGGCTTGCTAAGTATCCTGTGGTCTAATTTCATTTCTGGGTTGGAAGAACGGGAGTCTAAAAAGTAGTTCAATAATAAAGTATATAAACTCGACAAACTAGAAACTCCTGTTCAGGGTTGGTTGATATGTATAACTAAGTATCCTCTGGTCTAATTCCTTTTCTGGGTTGGAAGGATAGGAGTCTAATACAGAGTTGCTACAGTAATTTTTCTGGATTCTAAGTTTGTTCTAATTCCTGCTCTGAGTTGCTAAATAAGTGTAAGTAAGTAGAAGTATCCTCTGGAGTTCTGCGTTGCTGGATAAGTAGAAATAAGTATTCTCTGGACTTTGTAAGTGTGTTCCAAATTTGTAAAAGTAATGAGTACGCCACAGTTTCTAAGTGAAAACTAAACTAAGGGCTTTTCTACTAAAATACGTATTTTTATCTATACTTTTAGTATATTTGTAAATCTCTATTTACTTACTTATTATTGATGAATAAACTTGACACTTTAATGCAGATGCAAAATTAACAAATAATATTTGACGCCTTATAAAGCAACTATTTTCTATTTTAGAAATAAACAATCCAGAAAATATTCTTTGCTTACAAACTTTTATGATTAGACATGGTATAGTCCCTGATAGTAACTGAGAATGTTATATACAATAATAGAATAATCTTACCTCAATGAGGCAGCTCAACAAGTGACAATGTGGAGTGAAGCCTGGTTTACAGCTAATATCTGTTCGTTTTATCCAACCAGATGCATCCACAGAAGGTCTTATTCCCACATGAACAGCAAAAGATCTCAGATGTTTTGAATATGTCTTTTTTTATATATATATCATTGTTATTGTTCCTACACCCTTAAAAATGACTTTCACTGTGGAAGATTATTCACTTTGTTAAAGGCTTTATTTAGACTAAAAGAGTTTTAATTTTGGATTTACAAGCAGTGTTTATTTTTTATAAGGATTGTATAGCTCAAGAGATCTTGGTTGTGACCCGATGGCTGAACAGGAAAAAAGGAAAAAGGGAAGACAGACAGTAATTGGGGTTGGGGGATCACTGGAAATAACCTTTATTGAACTATCACAAACTAAACGTTTGAGAAAAACTGGGTTTTGATCATTCTTTTAGCATAGAACAATCTAGTCCAGGTTTGATGAGCCTACATTATTCAAATGTTTAAACAACAACTTCAACAGTCCTTTAATTATTTTCAGAGTCAGGAACTTCAGCCTGAAGCCAACTTCCGCTTTGTACCACCCTGTTTATGCAAACCAAGAGGCCTCTCCATTCTGCTAAATAAATAGTTAGACATTTAATATGCGCTGCAGGATAGTAGATTACAATTGTAAAACTGCACAGAAAACTGACGCCATCATTCACAACTTCTCTTCTGTTCACTGATTGGCCCAGTAGAAAATCTGCCAGAAGGAATCCAAGCAAAGAGGAGAAAACACAACCTGTGCTCTAAGTGAAATGTTATTCAAACAAAATTGCAAAGAAAGGCTACTTTTCAGCGTGACAAATGGTACACAACTAAAGCGTGCAAGATTTTATGGAAGTGTGACTGAAAGAATGCAATTTGTGTACTTGATGCTGAATGCCTCTCATATGAGCAACCATTATGGACAGCAGGGATTGTAAGGTAAATGTTTATTGAGCAGGGAAAATGTTTGAATGATTTGTCTGCAGGAGGGAGAACACCAAGCCAGGCCCAAACCACACTGGAAGACAGGGAGGCTTTCAACAGTTGTCTTTGACTGGAGAACTGGTTCAGTAGTGGAAGGAGTCAGATTGCTTCGTGAAAGGAGAAAGCAATTGAGGAGACGTACGAGCACATATCTGGTGGTTGACTCCTTGAGGGTCAATCGTGATCGATAGTGTTACTCTCCTTCGCAGGAGGAGGCGATTGGAGGGTAGACAAGCAGGCGAGTATTGGAGATGGGCCACAGGTGGGTGATCTGAACAGGATCAGCGAAGAGGACAAGAGCAAGATGCCAGGAGAGGAAATCCACATGGCTGAAAGATCAGCAGAGGATCTACGTGGAAGGAGAAGATCAAAGTTAAGATATATAACAAATAGTTTGTGATATAGTACAACACAGAGTCTAGTGTAGTTACCACGAGTAGCAGTAAACCATCTGGCATCTGTCTCTAGGAATCCACTCCACTAAATCCTGCTTTTGATGAGGGTAATTCACACCACCTGGAAGCTGCACCTACTGATAACACCTTACAGAGGAAGAGGAAAGCAGAACCCAAGAAGCCCTACACAAGCCTGTTGCTGCGACAGTACTTGTACTTAAGAATTTGAAGAAATGTAATTGCTGTCTTTTATTTCTGCAAGACCAAAAAAACATATACATGTACAAAATATAAACTAGAGGAGTTTTGTCTCTGACTTCAACTTCACAGCTTCAAGTTACAAATACTTTTGCACCAAAAATGCATCCATACCGAACTTTGCAGACCAGTCAATGGTACATGCAATTTTCATATTTTGAGGGCTTTGCAAAAGTTGCAGCTGAAAAAGCTCAACAGCACGAGGGCCGTAACCACTGCCCGTTGAACCTCCCAAGACTTACACCAAACTCTCTTGAATCCATGTCCAACAATAAACAGGAAGGTAGCCATCTTGAATTGTTCTTGCAGTTTTGACAGCTTATTACCTATGCATGATAAAATTCCTCCTAGAGGTTTTAAGGTATAAAAATGTTAGTTTTCTCATAAGTTATGGGGGATCTAAAGTTATCAAAATCCTGACTTTTTGTGCATACTGAAGGGGGTGAGGCCAGGTCTCAAAATTACCCACCAAAAAAAAAAAGAACTGTTGCAACTCTTAGAAAAGCATGTCTCCGAGGCTCAGAATTTTTACCATCACTGCAGTATTTCTGATTAACTTAGACACATTTGAATAAAACAAAAATTATGAAAATATTTTATTTTTCTTACAGACAACAAGTATGTGAATAATATAATCTATCAAATCAGCACACTGAAAAGAAACTATAAAACAAGCCACTGTTTGCTGATACAGTTCTCATTTTATTTTTTTTAAATCCATGGATAATGGAGATGCTGCTTTTAACATGATATTGTAAGATACATAAGTATACCACTTATAATTAATGCACTGTTCTGTTCAATGTGAATTTGCTAAAACCTGAACTTTTCTATGTTAAACTGTTTCATCAAACACTTTCTGATGTCTTTAGCTCTTAGGCAATATATAAGTGGGTTTATCATTGGAGGGACAAGGCTATAAAGCATTATGATTACTATTCGTAGATCAGCACTAAACTGAATCCCCACTTGACCAGCAAAATACACAAAACATCGAGGTACATAATAAAGTGAGATTATTATCAGTTGAGTACTACATGTTGACAGAGACTTTCCACAGTTTCCCAAATTTGTTACCTTACTTATTTCTATAAATATTGAGCAGTATGAGAAAAGTATAAAGGCCAGAGGTCCTAACAGTGTAATCATTGCACCCACAAAAGCAGGAAAAGAATAAGGGGCTCTGTCTGTGCAGGCCAGAACTGTTACTCCAATATGATCACAGTAACAGTGATTGATTATGTTTGATGCACAGTAAGGAAGAGGATATGCTCTAATCACCATCATTAAAGGGGATGCAATAGCAATAATCCATGCAGTCACACTGAGGATATGGACTGTGAATTTTGTAACAATAGCTGTATATTGGAGTGGATGGCAAACAGCACAGTACCTATCAAAAGCCATCAGTGAAAATATGAAAGAATTTACTGAACCCAAATAGTGAACAAGGTACATCTGGACAAAACAAGCAGTAAAAGAAATGCTCCCTGATTGAAACCAGTATCTACTGATGATTTTAGGTAACGTTGTTGTGCTAAAGAGAAGGTCACAGGCAGACACATTTAAAATGATGTAGTACACTGGTTTGTGAAGACTCTTGTTGGTTGCAAATAAGAAAAAAACTGCAGCATTTGCTTTCACAGTTACCACATAGACTAAGAATAATACAGCAGAAGCGAGACCGTAATATTGTGGATGGAGTCCAGGAAATCCAGTAAGTATGAATTCAGTTACTCTGCTTTTATTCCCCTCTGACATGATCCCGAAGAAAATACCTTCAAAAACTGAAAAGCACACAATAGTTCAAACTGAATTGTTATTTGACAAAAAAATATCCCTTGCAGTAATAAGTTCTGATATAACCGATCACAAATTATTGTTCTGTTGTAAACTATTCATAGTATGATTATTGATGTCAATTTTGATATCCTTTTATATTACATTTATTCTGCTAAGTTATGGGTTGTCATTCGAATATTAAACGTAGATGTAGCTTCGATGACAAAATTTTTAATTAGTTGTTTCTCACGTACCTTTCACAAAAGGTTCACCAACGTTCTCTAATTTCTCACCAGGTGTTTGTCTGCTTAAAACCCCTCCTTCAAGACACCTTTTGATGCAGGCAGAGTTATTGTCCATCCTCTTTGCTTTCTCTAGGGATTTCTGATGTTTTATTTTTGGGTGATAGTTTTCATCCCTAACATGAACAAAGATTCATAATTTATTGATTATAGTAGATGTGAAGTCAGGAACTCAAGACTTTCCATAATACGTTGCCTACCTTACAAGGCAGTCAGTTTTCTTACATTGTTGCCATTTGAGTGAATTACATAAAAATTCAATGATTTGCTATTTAAAATGCTTATAGACAACCTGAAAGCCGTGGAAAAATTAACTGCCAGACAAACAGAACTTTTGAGATATTTCTGCTGCGTATTTGTTAACTGCTATCTCACAACAAAAATTTGGATGGCACTACATGTTGCTACCCTTAAGTTTTACTTTCTTACAAGGAGTTTTACAGAGTATTTTTGTAAACTTGCCAGGTAACTTTGAAAAATTTGCTTAGAATTAAAACCTTCTTCTTCCTAATCATTCATGGACATTTAACTGAACTCTTTCAAATGCACCAGGTAGTTTTCACAACTTGTCTTGCATTCCTCTAACTTGTCTGATACTTTCTAATGTGTCAGGAAAGAACTTCTTAATTAAATTCTAGAAGACACCTTGCAAGTGCTTTTGCAGATTTGGAGAAAGTATCTAATATGTTCTAGCAAAAATCCAAAGGGTACGCAAAAAAAATTAAATCTCCTTTTTATAGCTTTTGCCTGCACAGTCATTTAGTATGCTAACCTTATCACCTATAGATGATGAATACATGCTTAGTAGGTGCTTAGCTATAAGTTCATCTGTGAATAAAAAGTAGATTTGTAAACTGCATAATGACTTTTTATGTAGGTAAACAAATACAAGGGCTAAAGTAGAAAAAAATCAGCAAAATTTTCTAATTGATGTAATCCATCTTTTTGTACTTATCCTTAAAATTAACATTAAAATACTTTGTAGAGAACGACAGGACTTTGAATACAAATCCCCAGAGAGCTCAATGGAGGCAAAACACAGATTTAATAATGCTAATGGTTTTGGAATCCCACTAGAATAAACAACTGTATTTTATGATTAGCCCAGTGAGTATTTAAAGTGATGGTAATAGAGGACTGCTAATATCCCAAGGGTTCAATGGAGGTCGCAGAGCATATGTTTCATCTTACCTGAGTGGATTTTGTGAACCGCACAGAACCCAAAGTCTATGTAAGTAATAAGTACAGGATGTGAACAATGTGAGAATTTTCAACTGTCCTAGCTTTTACACATTGTGATTGTCATTATTTATGAGAGCAATAGTTTCAGCCTACTAATAGCGTAAGCGTATTTGTAGGACAGACTGAAATGTTTAACCACATTTAAAAGTTTTACATCGTCTTGTTTTTACTTTTTAACCTGAAAAGCCATTATGAAATGACAAAAACTTTCCAGGAAACAAACAGTGACCTGGAGCAAGAGTGGAGTTTTAAATAAAATACATTTTAAATGGGAAAAAAATATTTTTTTATTTCACTGGCGAAAACTTTGACTTCTCTTTGGTACAGGTGTAAAATTAGGAAGAGAAAAATAGACTAATGCAACTATTCAGTGGATTTTTTTCCTCCTCAAATAATTGATTCAAAATTTTTTGATGCTTTTAACATTTTTAGAGATTTTTATTAAAGAATTGAGGTCAAGACCCTTTGACACTCTCTACAAGTTTTCAATTGCTTGTGCGTCCACATGGAAATAGGATATTTAAGGGAACTAAAAGAGTAAAATAGGACCCAGAGTGAAAATTTCACTCTTGCATCATCTCATGAATAGCAAAATTGCTAATCTTTTAGTCCACCTGTAACCTGACCTATAACTCCAAACACATCATACATGTAACACAAACAATGGCCGACCACATGTTCATAGCAGTGAACATGTTCCATACTCTATTTTTAGCACCACATACAGGAGTGAAAATTGTGTTTTGAGCCATTCTTGATGTTTCTGTATAGATGATACTTTTTTGGAATATATATAAATGTGGGTGTTTGAAACAGACATTTTTTGAGAAAAACATTCCTCTGTATTTGTGACTAGAATGCCAGTGAATGTATATTTTGAATGTTAAACATTTAAAATCTTTAAAGAATATAATTTATTTCATCTGCAAATATGTATCATCGGAAAAAACTATATTTGTACAAAAGTTTAACAAGGAACAATGTTGCATAAGATTGTTTTCAGTTGAGAACTTTCTGAGGTGCATTGTGGGAAAACTAGCACACTAATTACACCCTTGAGATGACGACAGGCTTGAGCCCTCAATTAGCTGGCTCATAACATTCATGTGTGCTGTTTGGTGTTTTTTTATTGTGTAAGGTTTGAAAACAAAACATGAAAACTTTGAACTACTGTAAACTCATTTATCACAAATTAGATTCACATAACCAGTCACATGAATAAGGCCGCTAAACAAGAGGAAGAAGGGATGGAAAACATAATTTAGTATGGAATTTATTGATAAAGAAAATGTATATACATGTACATTTATTTGTGAAGATAAATCCTTTGTTTGAATGGTGGCCTTTGCTATGCCACTGATAACCTGGGGCAGAAATTTTACAGTGAAAGTCTGTGATAATTGAAATGAATTCAACTGAATTGAAATGACTCAGCTGTTTGCTATGTTTCCTCATATAGAAAACTTAAGCATTTGGAATAATAAAATGAACTTGGCCTTAATGGGTTTTTTTTAAAATAATAATCAATTTGGAAGGTATATAATGGACTTTGAATCTTTAAAGAAAACTGAAACAATATTTGATCTGAATTGGCTCTGAATGGAATAACCTGAAAACAAATTGTCTTGAAATTAACTCAACTGAAAAGAAATGATTAAATGATTATGTCACATATACTCTCCTGATATACTCTCCTAAGTCAGTGTTGTTTTGTACTTATTGGACTTTATAAAAAATATGGGAAATTAAAAAAGTAACAAAACATGACTATCTTTACATTCTTGTAATGCTCTTCTTTTAAAACAGTGGATGACACTGTCTGTGAAATTACCAGCATTATTTTCCACTTATGAATGTGTTGGAAGAGTCAGAAAAAAAGGATTTAATGTAAGGAATGTTTTGTCTTTGCATGTTAACCACTCACAATTGGTACAAAGTTGCTTCATCTTTAACATAGTTTAGGTAATGTCTAACGATAATCAACCATTTTTTGTCGAGTTGGACTTTTTCTCCAACTTAGAAATGTAGTTTCATAGGTTAGCAATGTTTAGAGTCAATTAGCAACCTGATGTGAAATGCCTATAAAAGTAATGCTTTTTACTGGGAAGAGCTCTGAAGGTTAGCCCAGCCTCCCTTTCAGCACAAATAACAAATGCCAGTGCTGCCACCTGCTGGGAGAAAAAGGAAAAACTTATTGTTCCTTTTTGATACAACATAAAATTTGTTCGTTTCGATCAGTTTGGTGTTGTTAGAGTGATCGGCACTTTAACAACACCAATGTGTTTTATAGCTTTAGATGATATATCTCATCTTTAGATGATATATCTCATCTTTACCCATAGCTCATTTTAGAGCTATTGGCTCATACATAAGCTTGCAGGTTATGTGTGTTTGCATATAGATGCTGTTAATTGTATTACAAATTATATATGAATTATCACATTAGCACTGTAATTATGTGCATTAATATCAAATTTCCCATAAAAATTTCAACCAAGAGGTTAAAAGGGGGCTTGTCTGTCAAAAACTAACAGGCCACTTTTCCTTCCTTGTCCAGTTCTAATAACTTCCTCTTATTAAATTTCCACTCTCTTATATTTAAAGAGATCAACTATATTCACTATATCTATATAGATACAATTCACAACATATGTGATCTTTTGGCACTTTACAAAAAAAATCATTTCAGTTCAATCAGTTTATCCTAATTTTCAAAAAGAAATCAGATGCTCAGAATCGGCTGGTCCTTCCACATACCAGACTGAATACCAAAGAGGATCGAACCATTTAGCCATTCAAGAATTTTGAATAGTGTAGCACCACAGCTGTGCTTAGTTGATTATGTGGATACTTTAAAAAGCAGTTAAAATCTTTCTTGTCCGAATAGACTTCATTTTAAACGTTTAGAGTGATCTTCTGTTGGTAAATCCTAACCGTTTGAATGACTGTTTGACTCTGAGGGTAGGTTCGATCTCAGCTTCATCTTGCCACAAGTTGATGTGCCCCTGGGCAAGGCACTTAACCTCAAGTTGCCTACCGATCTGTACATTGGTTGATATTTGTGCGAATGGGTGAATATGACTCAAGTGTATCACACTTTGAGTGGTCAAAATGACTGGAAAAAGCTTACATAAGCTCAGTCCATTTACTATTAATTTTCATCGTGTGCTATATGTTGTTTTATCTTAATGGCATTTGATGGTTGTTTCTTTGGGTTTCTGTACAATGTTTGATGAAGGGTTTGTTTCTGAAAGGTGCTTCGCAAATAAACTTTGTTAGTGGTAAGAATAAATTAGTTTCACTGACTCAGTTATGTTGAATTTGTATCTTCATCTACAATAAATAAATAAAACCAACAAGACAATGTTATTTCAAAAGACTCTTTCAGACAACTTTAACCGAAGTTGTGAAACCAAATAGAGCTTGTTTACAGCA